TAATTTCAATCCCTAATGCTAGCCGTGCTCCTTTGTTGAATCTGGGGGCCTGGTAAGGCTGCAGATCCAGAAGGTCAGTCTGCTGCCCTGAGGCTTTCTGTGCCAATTCTAGACCCAAGCAGGAAGGGATGAGATGACAACAGGGGGAAAAGAAATCTGAATATATCTCTCCCCCTCTAACCCCAAAGAAGCTCACAAGTAAAAAACTAAAAGCCCAGCATGGTTTGCATGTCCCAGCCTTGTGTTTAAGCTTGATTTGGCTGGATTGCACCTGATTGATGTTCAGCTGGGAGGGTCTCCCTGGGCTGACCCCAGCAGGGATTTACCCTTGGCCGAGGGTTTCTCCTCAAGCACGGTGAGAAGGATGCTAGCTCTGGACAGGAAAGCACCAGAGTCAACAGTAACGGCAACCGGGGAAGCAGTGTTCCTTACAAAACAAAACCTTTTTCTCTCTGTCCCCCAGGAGGTTGTGGAGTGGCTACAAGTGCTTTGAGGTTAATCAGAGAAAGAGTCCTTCGGCGTCTTCATTGGAAGTGATTACACCCTGAGCGTTAGCAGGTGGATGGGTATTTCAAAAGGCAAATTCAGGTCTAATGTCAGAGCGCACCATTCCAGTTCCAGGGCGAGAGACTGATCTTTTCCGGGCTGGTGTCCACTGAGTCAATCAAGTTGCTCTGAATTCTCCCTGCTGTCTGTGAGATCACAATTTCTTGTAAATGTTTTTACTAATCGGTTTGGCAAAATCATAAGATTTCCTGTGCCTTTCTTCGATGCTCGGAATACTCAGTTCATGACCTATTTGTTAAAAATAATGGAAACTGGAATTTCTCTGTATTAGATGTTTTGTTTAGAGAGCAGAAAACCCATTAGGGTTTGTATTTCATTTATCTGCTATGACCTCTTGTGATACACTCTCATAGCTGAATTTCAGAAATTAAATTTTTGAAGGGAGACTTTCAAGTTTAGCTTTAAAGTTATTTTGATGTCTTTGTGCATTTGCTCACCTGTACTGCTTCTGCCACTGTAAAAAAAATGTGTACCTCTCCTCCTCATTTATTTACGTAAGGCACGCAGTTCCATTCTTCATGATTGAATTTAACACCAGAGATAGAAAATTAGCAATATGCAAAGCCGAATGGTACAGCATGCCGTTTTCCTTAATTTTAAAAATCTTTAATATTGTTGGGTGTATTAAAAGTCCTCACTAACATAAGAAAATTATTCAAAATGATTGAGTTAATGGTCCACTGAGAGAAAATTTGTGTGAAATCAACAGGAAAATCTCCGTAGGGTGAGGATATCCCTCCCTATTTTTTTAATCTCTTGGCTTTCGTGTAGAGTATCTGTTATGCAATATTTTGACCAGCAGCCACATCCACTCTTAATATTCCTGCAGGGGGAAGGCTGCCAGCCTAAGTCAGCTGAAGATCTGCTGCAGGGTGTACCTGGTGTAAACAGTGTTCCTAGGATAAAAAAAAAACGAGCATGGGAAGCTTGTGATTCTGTTGACCCTTTCAAAAATGCACTGTGCAGCATCCATAGAAATCATGAGAAGTAATCAGAGGAATGTGTTGCAAATCTGGTATTTAAGTTCAGACCATCATTTGGCTGTGTGTTACGCTGGTTTACACTGGAAGCCTTGGTATTAATAGCAGACTGGGGTAAAACCTTGGAGATTTTTGACTGGCTTTTCAGGGGAATCCGTAAAAAGTATTGGGAAATAAATGAGATGTAAATAATTAGAATGGAAGATGTCAGAACTTTTAGCTGGACTGGGCTCGTGACACAGCAGGAGAATGTTTTCATCCTAAGCTTCTATTTCCAATGACTTTTTTCCCCAAAGCACACTTTGAGTGGAAACTGAGCATATCCATTTTCTATTAAGAAGTAAATGTGTCTGGAGAAAACGTGTTTTGGTGTTAGTTTGCTTGATATTTTGATATTACAAATAAATTCTGATATTAATCAGTTGAGACTTTGTGCATTAAAGTATTTCTGAGCGAGTCAAGTATAAAATATTCTCCTGAGGTAAGCTGCTGGAGAAATGAGCTTGTAGTGTTGTCTGGCTTAAGAGTGGCACAGGACAGTGCATGTGGCTGTGTTTGTGGGGTACCCGCTTAAAATACGCTTCACAGAAGTGAACTTGTGAATTCAGTGGGACACATCTAATGTAACAGGGAGAGAAAAGAGCAGGGCTGCCTCTTGTTCCCCTAGAAGAACCAAGGCCCCTGGGGACTGCGTTGCCTTCTCTCTTCAGGTGTCACAGACACAAAGCACCTCGGAATCACAGAACCATTAAGGTTGAAAACGCCCTCCAAGATCATCCAGTCCATCTACCCAACACTACCATGACCACTAAACCGTGCCCCAAAGTACCACTTTTGCAGAGATGAAACATCTGATGGGTGACCACGAGGGACACAGGTTTGGATGCGTGAAGTCTCTTGTGGATCATGACTGATCATGACATGAGCATGGATGCTAAATGCAAGCGCTGGCATCCTTGTTGGGCCAAGCAGGTGCCCTTTACGATGCCAAAATTCCGAGCTTCAAATGTCACCCTGAACTTAAGTGCATAAAGAATTTTAAGGCTCTGCACGGGTGCAGCCTCGGGTTAGGCAAGAGACTTCTTAGTAAAACAGACTGTGCCATAGTTGTTCAAGACAAATATTCTGCACCTTTCTCTGATCTGTTAATTGGTAGAAGGCTGATGAGCTGTGTGTTTGATTTATTGGTGCAATCTCTGTATTTTGGTGTTTCTGAGCTGTTTCCTCTCTTGCGCAGTTCCACAAGTTCCTCTTCCCATGTTAGTCAGGAAAACCAAACCGACGTCTATCAGTTTAACAGTCCCACGTTAACAGTAATTACAGCACTTAGAATATAATGTATTACAATAATTCCTTTTAATACCATGTTTATTAGGTCAAAACAACAACTATAAACATAAGTACCATTCAGCTCTTTGCAGATATATGAACTTAATAACATCGAATCTTTACCAGAATCACGTATTCTTACAGGTGTCCCAGACACAACATTAACTTTATTAAGCAAAAGTTCATAAATAGTAAAAATGTCCTCTGTCTCACATTGCAGCGTTCCTCAAGCATGTATGTACAAGTCTGGAGGATCTTCTCCAAATCTGTGTGTCATAAACTTCCTTAGCTGTCTTAAGAACCATAGAGATGTTTTGTTTTTTGCCTGCAGCAAAGCCTTTTGTCCTTGAGCAATCTACAATTAGTATTGCTCTCAGCAGACATGAAAGTTCATTTCTGAAATGAAAGTGGTGATGGAACACAATACAATATTATCTGCTCATAGTTTGCCTGCACACTCTGCCCTCACTATAAATCTTTCAGTTGTAACACTGTCTCCCAAGAACAATATATCTCCTTTATATCACTTCTTTATCTGTGCTACCTCTCTTTGAAGATTTTAAAATGGTTGACTTACAGCAACGGAGATATTAGGGTGGAGTGTGTTTACAGTCAGATCTTCCCCTTTTTAATATTTACACAGTATTTTTTCAAGGTTGCTACGATTTATGAATCATGTACGTTGACATACATTTTCTGAAATGTTCACAGTGCAGTATTTTGTGTCCTAACCAAACTTTGTAAATGTCATTAAAAATAAACTTTTTTTAAATATAAAAATAGAATACTTTATGTGTTTACACCAACAAACCCAGTTCTATCCTATCCTAAACAAGCTATACAGTAGTATGCACAGAATTCCACAGGAACAGAAATGACATGTGATGCTTGCCCTAAAGCTATAGTACTCTTCCCTAATGAGTGAAAAGCTTTATTTACTCTCTCTTTTCAGAATTGTTTCTCTGGTCATAATTTAGAAATAAAAGGAGGTATCGTAGTTCACTGGGTTGTGTGATCCAAGAAGAGGCTTGGGGCAGGCCTGAAGCTGTTTCTTCTTTCCATCGGTCTTCTCAGCTCTTTAGGGCTGGCACAAAGAAGTGATCAACA